CCCTATTTGAAAAAAAAAAGTTTTACAGGAGATAAAAATTAATTTACCTTTTTCAGAAAAAAACTTCTCCATTTTGACACACTTTTATTTGAAAATTGCAAGTTGCTCATTCTTGCTACTAATATTAGCAACTTAATTACAAAAGCTTGTTTTAAAATATTTCGTGTATTATTGAAATGAAGAAAGTTCAGTTCCCAGGAGTATTTTTTTTTTCTTCTTAAATAGGACACAGAGATACATTTAATGCAAAGTGTAGCCGAAGCATTAGTGGGTGCTTCTACACCTCACTTTGGAGTTTATGTACCTCCTACCCAAGAAAAAGTAAATAAAATAAAAACATTAAGAGACCATGAATGGAAGATGCTTCAGTGTTCAGGTAAGTTGTCTATTTTTATCTTTAGTCCTTATGAATATATGCAAGTTTCTGAAAAGATGATAAAATACAGCTGGCTCCTGTAAGTCAGTGGGATATTACAATGGGAGCACATTGATCTAATATGAAAAGGATGAAACTCTGAATGCTTTTATTTCTGCCACTTGAGCCAGAAAGCACCACATTTCATAGCATAACAACTGTACCCTTGGGAACTTTGAATACTGTTATTCCAAAACTTTGGAATGACACTACCAAAATATTATGTGCTTAAAGAATGGTTCATAAGATGTGCAGTGGCTCTGACTGCTAATGTGTTTTCTGAATATAGTGCAGAATCAGGTTACATTTTTATTTACATTTAACTTGTCCACAAATAACTTCACTTAACTCAATAGTGATTAGTCATGCTTAAAGTACATTCACAAATAGCTGAGGATCGAGTACTGCATTTGTATAGGAATCAGATGAGGCAGGTATGTATGTTTTCAAGCATACTTGTCTAAGAAACATTTCTCTACTGAATAACTTTGTTTTTCAACAGAAAAAGCAATGATAAAGGTGGGCATCTCTCTCTGAAAGAAAATGCCCTGCTTGCTTTCAGAAGAAATGGCCAAGGCACTGGTCTGGTTCCAATAAAAATGTTCTCATGGGGATGGGAATTGTGGTACGAGCTTGATTAATAACTGTTTTTCTTATTGCTGTTCTTTTCAGTGAAGGATGGGATTTCAAGAAATTGACTGCACTTCAGAATCATTTTACACAGCAGAAGAAAAAGAAAATGGAAAATGTGTTGCTGTTCATGTTGCCTTTTAAATCATCAGGAAAAGAGATGGTCAATCTCTAAACAGAATAAGAGCCATTCACAATTGTCTCCTGTTTTAAAAATACTTAAAAACCGTATTTTCAGCCAAAGAATTGTGCTTGCAAATTCTATATTGGCACTAATTATTCACAACTGACACTTGAAAACAACTCCTGCACTTTGTTACTGCAAACTGGGGCCTCTGTCATTTGTGACATTGTAAAGTCAGGCTTGCATATGCAGTAGCTTGACTGCGTGGATGTTAAGGAAGTCCAGAAGATGGGCATCTGAAATGAGCAATCATAATAGCCAAAACATTTTAATATTATTCAACATAATACCAGAGTGCTTGCACTGCTGCCATCACCACCATTTAATTGGGAGTTTAAACTTAACAACAGGTCCTTCAGACTAATGAAATTTCATTTCATAATCTGATTTAAAGGATTGACCTAACATGGTCTATGCTTTTAATTTTTTTAACGAGTAATTGTCAATTGCACTAAGAAAGAAAAGCAGCTGAACAGCTATAGTGTATGCATTTCCAACATCACACCTGTGATGATTAAGTTTAATTTCCTGAATGATACAGGGCATAAGAGAAAAAAGAAAAATATTTTGCATATATAAAATTCCAAATACATAATTGAATAAAGCAGTGTAAAGAGGACTTCACTGTGCCCTCTTTTCAAACGTAAATTGTCTATATAACAAATAAAACCCCAAACCCCCAGAGATTTGGTAGTGGCCTAAGGCTGACATCATGTGAATTCTCAAAATTAAATAAACATCCTGAGGCAATAAGCATAGTATACCTTGTTTGGCAGCATTCCAGATATGATTTTGGGCTCATTTTCAAGAGCTCTTTTCTGTGATTGTGACTTCAGTGTGACCTTTTGATTTCAAAAACTTCAAATTATGCTTATACTGGTGTTGCCACTGGGGTGAACTTTACATTGTTTGAGTAACTAAATATCTCTTTGCAGTTCTCTTTTTATAACTGTTCCCAGTGATTCCCTTCTCGTTCATACTGGTTTTCAGTTATTGCTGGATGGGAAATTATTCCCTATCCTTGAACATTTTGAAATGAAAATCTATTTCAAAATAAAATAAAAGCCATGTCAAACATTTTCACAACCAAAAGTTGAAGAACATGAAGATGTTCTGTTTCAGTTCAGAATTTCTTTAAACTTAACTTCAAACTCCAAAAAGTATTTACTTGAGATTGGAAACTGGGCAATGGCCAAACTTTAGCTTCAAAACTTTTCAGAACAGATTTGTTGGTTTAGTCTTCTCTCTCCCTTGGGGGGGAAAAAAAAAAAAAAGTTTTTTTGGAAAATTCAGCATTTTCACCGAAGAAGCATTTTCTCAGAAATACCTCGGCTCATTCCCTTTTACCTGCCTTCGTTCAACGGAATTTCTGCAGCCAGTGTTTGAATGATACCACTGTCGTATTTTGATATGCATTTTTCTAATATCTTGATCAAATTTATTAAAACATGAATTAAGAGAAAAGAATGTGTGCTCTTGGTAGAATTAGTTTGCAAATACTCTGAGACGGCTGCAGTGGCATTCTGCAGACCGGGACGCAGCACAAGGTGCTTTACTGCTTTCTGGCCATAGTCTGTTACTTCTTGCCAACTGAGGGACAACGGTAGAAGTGAGTAGCGCAGGAGTGGTTTAATAATCGTGAACTGTCCAAGCCGGCGGTTTACGTGCCGGCGTTTAACCCGCGCCCGGTAAGGCTGGGCGTGCGGCGCGGCACCGCTCCGGCCCGGGGCGC